AACATTCTTTGTGATTTTTTGTTTTGAAGATTATCTCTTTCAAAGATTGGCCGTGGATACGTCTCGTATGGTCCATCCGTTGAGTCCAATTTCGATGACTCGTTCGAACATTTCCAATGGTAACTGGCGAATAACATGCGTGATGTTTTGCTCCAAGGCCTGAATTGAAAGGGGATTGTCCGCATAAACTTTAGACTTTACTTATCCTCACAGGAAAAAGTCTAAATGTGTGATATCTTTTCATGATGAAATGGCAAACAAAAATAGCCTGAAAGCTTGATACGATTGAAGCGATGGTAAACCTCCAAACATCTCTTACCGAACAAGGTATAACCTCAATTTTACTGTAATAAAAGTCAATACTGAATACGCTCTTCCACTCAAACGTAGCCCTGCCCTCAATTATTTAACCCAATTTCATTTCCTTAGGTCATAATGCGCTTACACGGTCCTTAGGGCTATATTTCGAGCAAAGTACAAATTCTTGTTCATATGACCAATAACTGACTCATTACCCATTTAAGCATAAGTACATACACTCATTCTCCCACATATAGGTATACATATATTTAGTAATTATAAATGCAATAAAGTGCTATTTATGACCGTGTTCTGTTTGGAATTTTGAATCACATCATTTGTGCTGCGTAAACAAATTATGGAACCATAAATTGGCGCATTCACATGGAAGTCACATACGAGTGGCCTGGTGAGACATGTGCCTACTGTGGATTCCTAAGGTACGCACAGCCATTAGCGGCACAACAAAAGCTGGCACAAATTCTAAACAAAAACAGCTAAATAACTGTGTCATTGCGTGTGTGTGCATGTTTGTGTGTATGTATTTAAAAAATGGCATTTTAGAACAAATTAGTCTACTCAATAAGCAGTGATCACTGCAGACTAACTTTTTCGCCTAATTTCGAAATCTTTTACATTTGGAAATAATTGTTCTTAGCTACTTAATCATGAAATTATTTACTACATTAAAGTGTGGCAATCGTGATGGGAAAACAAAAATGTTTTTCTTTTGTTTGTTTTTGTGATTTTTTGTTTTGATGTTCGAATATTCTTCTTTCATATGCTTGAGACGCGCTGTCTGGCACTCATATCGCAAACCATTTTTTTTTTTTTTTTTGCTGTTTTCAAGTGCCTTCGTGTGTTCTTTTCTGCTTGCAGTAGCCCCCTAAAATGCGCTTCTTCTTCTTCTTATCGCTTTGTTTTCCCTGTAGCGCGCTTCCACTCAACCCATCAAGCTATTCCATCGAAAGCCACATGCGGCTGCCTCGATCCACTATGCACTCATATGAAAAGCGTATTTCCTTCCTAAAGTGTAATTAATTAATGCTGGTCACTATCATCATTGGACCATCATCTGCCTGCTTCTTCCATTCCATTGCCTCATTACGGCCGTTGTAAATACTAAAAATTATTGTTTTTGTTTTGCAGTCGCAGATAAATAAGTGAATGGAATGTTTCGAGCATAATTCCATACATTTCCAATTGTAATTTGCCAATCTGTCGATTATGTGTAACGCCGCATGGTATTCGGGTACTACCGATTTACAGCTACGACTCTCAACAGTTCACTTTTTACCTTGGATACGCTCGTTTCGGTTCTCTCGTCGAGTTCGATTTTTTGGCGAATGGTGTAAAAGGATATGTGAACGGCTGAGTTATTAGATTTGCTTTGACAAAAACGATTGTAGTAGCTTGCATTTCTGGTATTAAAAACCGGGCGTAGTGGCTCGAAACGAGAAAAATGTCACACAATGAACCGAAAGCTCATTTGAGTGCGATTAAATTTATGGAATTGGTAATATGTACATCTATATAAAATTAAAGTTTAATAAGTATACAAGTTTTAAAATAATAGATGTGATTTTGGAATCCCCTGTGGTGTGCTAAAATTCATTTTTTCGAGGTTCCTTTAGTATTTTAGAAACAGAAAATTTGTGGACAAAATCAAAACAAATACTAAAAGTGCTGGAATAAGTAATAACTAATGTGTATTCCAAAAGGCAACGCATTCAATATTGTAACAGTCTCCCAGCTGTGGAATGGGAATGTTGGCTTCTTGTGGTTTATTACTGGATTGATCAGCTCAGCACACGTTGGTCAACTGCAATCGCAAGGTCCTTTTGACTCGAAATTAGTTGAAAGAGGTCGCGCTTCGCAACATTTACTTTTCATATGTAGGTTCCAGGAGTTCTAAGTGAACTCTTTCGGATCGAGATTCATGCATTTAAATGGAATATTTTACCGAATGCCAGCTGTTTCAACTATTCTGAAGAAGATGAGATAGTATCATATCAAGGCAAGAAAACCTCCGATGTCATAGATTTAGGCATCCAAGGGAAATGGCACAAATATGGCGAAAGCTAATATCCAATTACAGGAGTTTTTTTTTTCGTATGACTTCACAATGTACTGAGGAATCAGCTTCGCTATACTGACGGATCAACCAATTAGTAAGTTTCCAACCGAATGCTGGTAAAAGACCTTGCAGAAAAGAACGGAAAAAGTCTGGTGGTGAGGTTTACCCTCTATATAAACAGAACGAGCCCAGATTTTTTTCATACAGTGAATATAAATTTTTCTAAACTAAAAAAAGCGCATTTTAAGTGGAGATGGACTTTTCAAAAGTTCCGAGAACGACGTTTTCGAGCCCAATTTTATTTAGTAATGATGCTCATTTCTGGCTTAATGAATATGTATGTAAACAAGCTAAATTGCCTCATTTCGACCGGAGAGCAGCCTGAAGAGATTCAAAAGCTGTCATTTCATCCAGACAAATAACGGTTTGATGTGGTATGTAAGCCGTTGGAATCATCGGTCCATATTTTTTCTATAATGATGCCGGTGAGAACGTAACCGTCAATGGTGAGGATTATCACGCCATGATAACCGACTATTTTATGCCTGAAATTGAAGTTCGTGATCTCGGCGATATTTGGTTTCAACAAGATGGCGCCATTTCTCACACATCAAATCAACCAATAGACAAATGGATTGATAGGAACTTCGGTGAGCAGATAATTTCATGTTTTGGGCGGTCGATTGGCCGTTATCCACCGTTACATGTAAAGTCTAAAATATATGCAGACAATTCCGCTTCGATTCAACTATTTTCAACTACGCAAAGTAAGGGGTATAAGATTTTCTGATGATTTGAAAATTGTTGACATAATGTGAAGAATACGCCGTGTTCTTATGCCGCTGATGAATTTAATAATTTCTCGGCGTTGAATTATAATGAAAAGCAAGAGAGAAGAAAGAACATACCTCTCATTAGAGTTAGTGATTTTGTGGTCTTCGAAATGTAAATCTATTATACTATATACTATCACTGTCAAGATACTATGATAAATCTGGATCTAAAACTGTGCTGCAAGAATTCTTCACTGAGGGTAGTCAAAAGAAAGTGTTGTACACTCATACGTATTTGTAGAACCAGGAGATTTTTTATAAAATGTGAATTATTACAACATCGACTAAGCAATACGAATTCATACCTTTTCTATACAAAAAACTGAAAACTTTTTAAATATTCTTTATTCCTTAAAACTAATTTGCTAAAGTAAAACGTTCGGAATACAAAAAATGTCAACAAATCCCACCAGTTTCTATGTCATCCCCAATTAATAAATCAAGCCAAAAGTATATTTTTTTTAACCCAAACCCAACCCTCGACTAATCCCACCAGGCGCACCTCTCGTTAATTAACGTTGAAACTTAATATGTAAAGTGAAAGCTTACATATCTACCGTTATTTATAGTTACAAACAGTGTTTATCAACAATTTTACTCATACACTAACCGAGTGACCCATTTCTTGTAGGGATTTTCCGCCGCCTGCCTGGCATTGCATTTCTACAGTTTCGACGACCGCGACATACTGACCTCATTCGTAGCGACGGGCACCTTTTCCGGCTACATAATAGTGGTTGTGGGTATTTTCGCAGGTGCGTACAAGGACATACCATATAAAGTGTCTCCAACTCGAAACAAAAAAAACAAAAACAAAAATAGCAACCACATAATTATTTTATAACTTTGTCAACAGGTGTCCTAATGCGTGCGCCCATCCACAGACGCATCGACATATTCTACAGCGTGCTCGGCTGTGGGCTGTTCATCGCCTCGGGTGTGTTCATAATCGAGGCATGGGAATTTTCATTTCGGACACGCACACGCGATTTGGCGCTCATTAAGGCATCGCTGGCCATTGTGAATGGGGTGTTGTTTGGCTTCGATGCGATTTTTACCTTTCGTGACAAATGAGAGCGTAACACAAGCAGTGGAGGGGGACAGCGATGATGCGTTTCCGGAATTGCCAGAATTTTATAGAGTTTTTTAAGTCATAAAGCTAACTTACACACACATAAAATACATTTTTAATTACAACAGTTTTTTTTTAGCTCTAGCTTGTACTCATACTAGTTTTTCTGCCATTTTTTAACTACTTTGTTGTTGTTTATTTAGATGCTTTTTGGCGGTTTTTTCATGTCAAATAAAATTAAAATTTTTGCGCCATTAAATTACATACATACCTACTTATATACTAGTACATATTTATGTATTTAATTATATTATATCTACTTTTTATTTCATCTCTGAGTCAAGAAATTCTTAATTGGCTTGTGTTATTGCTGTTGTTTAGCTTTTCACTTGGCAGACAACAGATGTTTTCTGCTTCAGTATGTACATAAATTTGGTGGAATCTTTCGGCAAAATACGCAAATGCCAGAAATTGAAGTTCTGCCGCTTCAATCAACCAAAATCCAAGTATCTTCAACTGCTAGATTTTAGGAAGGTTTATGGTAGTGTTTTGTATATTTCTAAGCATACATAATAAATACACAACAAAATACGCACCAATCTTATATGGATAAACATATATATGTATGTATGTATATACTATAGGTATATATTCAAGTGGAACTCTATAGCAGAATGTGGTCATTTCTTTTTTTTTTCTTCGTATGTATGTATATCCTCGTGATTTCATAGGTGACTTTGAATACGCAATAAAATGTTGCGCAACATATGTATATATAAAATGTTGATAATATGTTCTCTGCATGTTCTTGGCAAATTGTCCCCAATTCGAAATGCGAAGTGAATCACAGCTTTTATTTGATCCATCCAATTAAAAAGAGGTCTTACTTTATTTTTGATACCATATTGAATATCTTTCAAAGCTGAAAAATTAGTATCCCTTCAAAATCTTCTTCGAATTCGCTGTACTATTCACCGCGTGTATTCATTGTACTTTCTTCTACACCATATAAATAAGGATTTCGATTTCAGATTTGCTATGAATAAACAGCACGGCTTTGCTAGAAAAAAATAGAAAAACCTTGGAGTTATGACCGCTATAATGAGTCATCGTATCTGGAGTCCTATCCTTTAGAGCAGAGTACACCACTTGTTCAAGTAATTTACCAAAAACCGATGTAATGGAAATGATATGACTTCGAAATCTTTCTAATCTAAGAATGCATGGTCAGTAAGAATCCGCTGATGGAGGTTTTCAATGAAGTGAAAGTTTTACGTATCTTGAAGTGGAGTAAACTTCAACAGCTCTTACACAATAGGTATTACTTTATGGAAATTATGTAGAATACTTATAGTAGGCGAAGATTTTTGGTTCACTCATTTTGTGAATTGTACGGAGAATCATACACTCTCTGAATCTGCAGAAGCTTTAGTAATTTAGACAAAAATGCGTCCGCTATGACTTCGTCTTCGCAACGTATACTATAATCTATCACTTAAATGATTTTAATGTGACGGGATAGATTAGTGATAAATACAACAGCACAGCGTATGGCTCAATAAAACTGTACCAGATTTCTTCTACTGGGCTAGAGTTCTCTTTCTTGCCAGCTCATCAGCATTACATATACTCCACCAACCTTTTCCTCAAACTTTGAATTATACGAAAAGAAATCCACTGCCCCTCTATTCCAATGCCTTTTACCCACCCACAACTTCCTCATAGGTATGTGGGCAAAGAAAAAGCCTCCACAGTTTGATTTGTTTACTTCATGATGCAAAAGTGCGCAGATTTCCGAATGTCCAGACATACTATGTACTCATTTGGAAACCCAGAATCTCTGACTCTGCCTTTTGCCTATGGCTTCTATATAGCACGTCTCGTAGTCAACAAGATGAAACCTTGAAATTTATTTGTATTTTGGTAATGTTAGGATCATTTAAGACCTTTAAAATTTTATGTGAACACTTACGGAAGCGTAGTCCGCCGTCTGATCTCGCTACTGTTTGGATTCTTTTATTTCAGAAATTAAAATTCTATATAAAAGTGGATCTCTCTCCTATTTTCTTGTTTTTGATAACGCTCATTTTAAGCTCCTGGATGTCAGTAAAGTTTCGCGCGTATAATTTTTATAGGTCAACCCGCTAAAGCAACTTGTTGTCGTGTCTGACACTCAAAAAGAGTTTATAACAATTGTTTGAGAGAGCTACAAAGCAACATATTCCTGTGATAGCAACAACACGATTCAATGTCAACAATGCAAGTAGACAGCCGACGAAATGAAATGACGAAACCGGCGAAGCGCGTTGCTCCACCAAGCAGTCAGCCGAACCCCAAACGAAGCGATGCTAAATTGGTGGCGCAGACGAAACTAACAATCAGTACGAATTGAACGCTCGCGAAAGCAACGCGCTTGTTGTGAACAAATTGAATTTGTTTAAAAATAAAAAAAAATAAATCAAATAAGCTGCTGTGGAAACAAGTGTTTCTGCTTGTGCGAAATACACATATAAGGAATAAGAAAGTCATTTCAAAACAGAAAATAAAAATGGAGTTCAACAATCGTCTTTTGCTGAAAATCATTGAGCTGGTAAATTCACAACGCATCTGTTTTCATTATTAAATATTGCCGAAATATTCCGGCGCAATTTATGGACTTGATGATGACAATTGAATAATTGAAATAAAGCGCTAAAATTCGATTGCATGTTGGCATTCAAATTAAATTGTTGAAAGAAAAGAAAAATATTTTTATGTTTAAGGAAAACAAAAAAAAAATTAATTGATTAATTGGACAAGTATTTTAATTATTTAACTTTTGTGTTTAAAATTTTGTTGTTTCAAGTTTTGAATTTAGTATATTTTTTTTATCGAAAAACAAATGAATTAGATATTATTTTTAAAAGTGGTTTTAAGTGCAATTTTAATATCGTTTTCATAATATAATAATTTTTTTTTGTAAAACCGAATAAAAAAGTAACTTTTTGTAATTTTTTTTTTGTTATTCCACATTTTAAACTATAAAGAAATAATTTTTTCTAAAATTGTGTTGTCATAGTGTTCTCAAAACTTCTTATATATTATTATGCTTTTATGGTGAAAATCGTCTACTTTGGCACATTTTCTGAAACATTCAACACATTACAATAAGTGTAAAATAAATATTGTGTAAGTCAAAAATTATCAAAAAATTTTAAGTACAAAAATGCAGATTGTTAGCTACATCTTGAGATCTGAGTCTCATTTACTATTATATAATTTTATGTTTCTATTTTGGTGTTCTAGAAATACGCTTTATGAGCATGTTCTCAGCTTCGCTATTTCTGCACGTTGTAACAATTTGAACGCTGAGGTTATCTTTTCAAGTAAGGAGGCCCTGCAAGGGTTCAAAGAAGTCCTTATAAGAGCTTATGGTCTCTCGTCGATTTTTTGCCTGCTTCTCGTGGGTAATTTAACCTTCATGCAACCTCGGTGAGGTTGTGGATGCTTTAGAGTAAGCATCTGTACACCTTTTCGCCGGAGGTTTAATGGACGTATGAGGCTTTTTGAGCCAAGAATTCTTCTTCTGTAATTCTGAGTTTGGCCCTGTATACATATTATATTACTATGAGCAGCTAAGCTACTTACTAGAATGGGCCCTCCGTCATCTGTAACCCCAGCAGTAAATAAATAAAAAAAGTAGTGCATAAAATAAAATAAATAAAATAAAAAATAAAATAA